AGTTCATGACTCTTTGCTTGTGTGAATATAGAATATGGCATTCCAAGCAAGAAAATATTTTCTAATAGCACAGAATTGAAAACATGATCTCAGCAAAACACAGCTTTCTGGAACATATCATCATTTGGAGCTGTACATGCGTCTCTAAGAGTAATATTTGCTAACTAAATAACCGTATTTATAATCAAATCTTCCTATTTCTAGGAAGAAGTTTGTGAAGATTGATTAGTTGGTGACTGCTCTCTGTTAGTTTATGAGATAGTTATGCAGCCACAACTATAAATACTCCTACATAATGTCTTTTCAATTCATTTATGAAAGAACTGGCCTAAGTGCTCACTTGTCTTGTTTGATGCTTCTACAGCATTTCCCATCCCACCCTGAGTATACCACAAAAAGTTTATATAGCAGCTTTTCAGTCTTTATTGAGCTGCAGCTACCTCAAACAGCACAATTTACCAGCACACAACCTGGCCATGCTGCGCGATGCTGGAGTACATGGAATTAAAATAAATACCATATTCATTTAAAGATAGGTGTTTTAACAGGGGAAGTCTGAATGTTCTCATTTAGAGATGTGGAACAAAAATATCCCCGCAGATAAACCTTAAGCATGATTTGACTCCTCTTTATGCCTCTAAAATTAGGACTCAGATTCATTGTCCCATCCTAGCTGTAGGCAAAGGGGAGAACAGAGGTGGGGAAGAACAGGCTGGAGTAACAGTGCTGGCTAAAGAACATGAAGTAGCTGGGGGTCTGCCTGTGAAAAGTATAAAGTGTACCTTTAGAACACACTAAACACTAGGGCACACTAAAATGTGTTTAATTCCAGTAGTATGTGTCAGTATGAGTTCTTCATGGACCTATTTAAGAGATTGGGAGTTTTGCCACTTAATTCAGTGGGAATTTACCTCAGTTTTAATTAAGACACCTGATTTTGTGGTGATGTGATCCTGAAACAAACCAATAAAGAAGATAGAAACAGAAGAAGTAAATCTGTAGGAGATAGAACTGACCTTGGGGGAGAGATCAACCGGCCGTTAGCTACACTTCAGGCTTAATGTGATGTCCTATCTCTGTCTTTTGAGCTGAGGTCATGTGAGGACAGATGGAGAGTTTTTACTTTGAGTTGTAATGAGATGGGGCTCGCTGTCTTTTCTGAACACGCTGAACTGTCATCCACTGTGACTACATTAAAAACTGTTTTGCTGGGTCCAAATCAATTATTTGTTTTTGCTTTGGATGCTTTGCATTCTTGCTCACAGTTGGGTTGGTGTTATGTGAGAAGGGCAGGGTTGTGGGTTCATACTCATATACTCATGTAGTTGCAGACATATTTTACCCAAGAAGTAAACCAGTCCAAAACCTCAGATCAGAAGATGAAGACATTTTTCAAACCCCAAACAAAAGCAATAAATGGAGATGAGGATTAACTTTGTCAATTTTCACCCCTCCCACAATAAATCTCAAAAATCTTGGCTTTTATCTTCGATGGATAACACAATAGGCACCAGAGCACACCAATATTACGCAAATACTTCATGTGCTATCAATTATTTTGCACATATTCATCATCCAAATTGTGAAATGGTTTGACCTTTTTTTTTAAATGGAGAGTGTATGAAGATGAGAGTGTCGGGCTGACACATTCTCCTTTTGTAGTTGTGTAGGTATAATTTAAATATCATTTCAGCAGAAAATAGGAGCCCTATTCAGCAGTGAATAGGGCTCTCCTCCTGAGTATCCAGCCCCTCCTGGCCTGTGGAGTCGGATGGAGGCAGAGAAGATCTGTGTTACTTGAGAGGGGAATACAAGTGAAGTGAGAAACAAGATTTAATGTGCTGCTAAAAAGCATTCGGATGTTATGAAATCAAGAGAATACATTCATCGGGGATGTGGCTGTGCAACCCTGACTGTTTGTGACTTCCAGTCTGCAACTACTAGGAAGTCTAATGTTCCTCGTATAGTTTGGCTTGGAGAAGGGGGCTCTTACAGGAGGAGAGCAGAGCAGAGCAGGTTTGCATGCCTGGGGTATGTCCCCATGGAAAGGATTTTTGTAACAGATGTCTTGCTAAAATAAAAAGGTGGCTAAGACAAACACGCAGGTTGTGGTGGAATAACAGAAAACTGATGTAATGATGAATTTCCAGAGACATCTTGAATTTCACATTTGATGTACTTACTGATTCAGAGTGATTTACTGTGGAACCACTTTGAACACTCATCTTTCCCAAGGCTGATACTCTCCATTTCAGTTACACTGCTAGCTGTGTGTGAGTTAATGCTTTACACTCTTATGTTTCTAAAGACCATCTCTTTTTAGTCATTAACACAGATTAATTCCATCATCCTTTTCCCAATTATTTTGATCTTCAGAGTATGCATTGCCCAGAGTATGTATACCCTGTACTCTTCCCTCAGTTGTCAATGCTCAGTTTCTTCTTTAGTTGGCTTCCATATAGAGATGTCAGTGCTTTGGTTTTCAAAATTCATCATCCTGGGTAGGTAAAAGCTGAATTAAACTGGCTGTTTCCCAAAGGTCAAATAAGTCTGAGTAGAAAATCTGTCTATTGCAGGTCCTGTGCTGTCTCCCCAACATTCTATTGCTAAACAAGTCATGGCTCTTGAGATTAAACAAATTAAATGATAGTTTGAGCATCCCGCTCCTCCTTCTGATTTGTCTGTCCGAGTCACCCAGGTTGTGATAATTTCTGTAGATTTCAGTTTAGATCAGGTGAGTGTCAAAGTTGGTTCCTGAGAGAAGACCGGAAAGGATGAACTACGGCAGCACTGAGGACACAGCTGTGCTGCAGCAAGCTTTAGGTGTCTGATTGTCAGACATGGCGAGCAGTCAGGGCTCAGGATGGGCCCTGCTGAGTTACAGCCAGTTTTTACTGTCTTGGTCTGAAACTGACTGAGATGGGAGCAATGTTCCCCCCCCATGGATTAAACACTGCAACATGTTGCAGTGCTTTAATTCATTGAAGCAAATTTGGCTGTGGAGGGCCACACAGTTCTGCTGGGACTCCCATGTGAGCACTCTGTGGAGCTCCTCAGGCCTGCTTGTAGATGGCAGTAAGTCAGAACTGCTCATAGCCTGCAGACATCTCTTTGGGGGTTGATAAACTGGTGTCTTAGGTGCGCTGCTGAAGTCCATGTGTTCAGCTCACACCTGAAGTGTGAAGGATGCTGGTGAGTGCTGAAGCCTTACTTTGCACCCTGTCCTGCCGTCCAGAGTGTTGAATCTGACTCTTCGTAGCTCAAGACCTGATAGCACAGGACCTGAACCTAGCCAGGCACGTGGGTTCAGGCTTTCTGAGGTGGCAGCAGTGGGGCTGCAAACAGGGAACTGAAACCAAGTATCTCAACCAAACAGCATCATACACAAACCATCTCCTTTTATTATCAACTTCAGGGTTTATTAATTTATCAAACCAGGCCAAAGTGATGCAACAAGTACATAAATAAGTACTGTAACAGACATACATCCCATGAAGAGAATGAAAAACATGACACTGTGTATTTTGTTGTCTTAAGTGACCAGAAACTGGAAAAATGCAACACTGCATTTCACTAAATGATGCTTATGGGGTTTCCTTTGTCTGCTTTTCTTAAACACATGTTTATTATAAAATAAATACACAACCCGGATTCCACCTGCCCTGTCACACGTACAAAAAGCAGGTTGCCTTCTTCTTAAAAGAAAGAAAATACGAACACTGTACATTCCCCCTTGGCGTTTTTTTGACCAGCTACTGCTACAGACGATGCCCGTGAGGTGAGAAACCAACTGCTGGCCATCCCACCAGATTGCTACATTTCCTTAGAACCTCTTCCTCGCAATGTCTTCCCAAAGGAACGATCAGCTTCACTCGTGACTTATTAGAAGATTTATAATGAAATTTTGCACTTCTGCAGCACGTTTCAGCCCATGTCGATGCCACGTGCAGTCGGTGCTGCTGGTGCCAGTTACACTGCAGCAACCTCTGACCCTGGGAGCTCCCAGGACCTCAGTCAGGATACACTGCACCCCTTTCAAGGAGCGGGGCAGGATTCATGGAGGCAGAGGCTCCGTGGGGTCCCGTGGAAGGCGGCGGGGCAGTTCACTTAGCTGTCCTTGTAACACAGTGGTACAGCACTGGTAATGGCGGGTGCCAGCTCCGCCTCTGGAGCGGGGCTGCCGGCCCTGCTGAGGGAGCCGAGGGGCTGCCCCGGACCGGTTCCCGCCGGTTCCAGCGGCCCCACAGCGGGCAGCGCTGAGGCGCTCAGCGGGGCTGGAGGAGCCGCAGGAAGGTGGATTTAGGGAAGGGCAGAGCGCTGCTGGGCAGTGAAGGGAGAGTGCGAGGAACAGCCCCGGGCTGGGCAGGGAGAGGGAGCTGAGAGTCCCCGGTGACCATGGAGGCACCTTGAGGGCTCTCCCTGCAGCCCATGGAGGCTTGGGCAAGAGACTGCCATGGTTCACACTCATACCAGGTGAGAGTGTTTCGTTCTTGCAATCCATGCATTTGCTGGTGGAGCTCCCTTTTAGTGTTTTCCTATTTTGCAGTGTTATGTTGAGTGAGTAGGGAGGAAAGTATTCCTAAATATCATCTGCTCTGTCCAGGCCTAGGACATTGGGGTGGTTATATACAGGCAGGATTGCTAAGGAACCGAGATCACCACATATGTATTCTCCTAATTCCCTTTGGCTTTTCCTTTCCCTTCATGTCTGTTCTCCTCACCTGCTCCTTGTTGGGAAGCCCTGCCTTAGCTGCAGGCCCACACTGCAGAGGGAGGTTGCTGGGCTTTGCTGCTTGGGACAGGGATCCCCTCAGGATGGGGCAGCTCTGCCTGAAAGGGGCTCTCCCACACCTTCATCCCTTTGGATGTGGGTACACCCTGGCGTGCTGGCACTGGCAGGGTTACAAACCTCAAAATCCTTGCCATCACTGTTGATTTCATTCCCTGTGAAGACCCAGGCCCTGGATCAGGCCGTTTCCATAAAGCTTTGTTTCCTAGTGTGTGTTTGAACAGCAGTATTCCCATCTGCTTGTGGGGTAGAAAATGGGAGCACAAGCAGGCAGACTCGCTTGCTTCTCAGGATTTAATCCAGCATGGCAGACACAAGGCAGAGTAGATGAGAGGCACCTTTCTTACAGGCACTGCAGACATGCTACGCTGCATTAAACAGGACCTCTCAGATTTGTTTTTCACAAAGGTAAGTCTCCACAGAGCTGCTGTATTCCGAAGGGTTGCTGTAGCTGTTTGGTGTTTGTCATGGGAAAAACCTGTCCTTCAAGTGTGTGAGAATAGAGAGGTCACCCTCGGGAAAAGGCGGAAGATTCAGTTTGTAGCAGATCAGAACCAATAAATTAAGCACTGTGGTAACTTTGAAGGAGGTTTAACCTGCTAGGTGTTTTGAAAGTACTCCGAGTACTTCACCACCTTCTGCCATGTCACTTTAGAAGGCAGTTTATCAGCCAAGCCCATGCGTTAATAGGGCCCAGAAGAATGAAGTTGTTAGGGCTGTGATAGGGAGCTGACACTTCACATTTTTATAGAGAAGTGGGTGGAGGAAACAGTGAAAACCACTTAAAAGTGAACGTTTGCTCAAATTGCTACAAAAATACAGTGATTGCCACTAACACCTGCTGTTCAGTTTATGGACTCAGTTTGCTCAACTACAAGACATCATCCCAAAGGCAGGCTGCTTAGGAGTTTGTTAGTTTAAATCTGTTTTTTTATGTCTCCAACGCAAGTATTGTATCACTTGTATTTTTTCTCCACTACTAAAATAATCCATGAGTCATTTCAACACCAGAAATGGTATAAATTCAGCACAGGCAATACTGCTCTCCATAGCTCCTGCGCATTTATTAGGTGTCTTTCTTTTCATTAGTTTGAATAAGTTGCCAAATAATAATAATAATAAAAATGTTCTGTTTTCTCTTTTTAACTTGTAAAGAAATGCAACTCTGGGAGAGTACAGTCTCTCTTTCTCCTTCCCCCACCAGTAACACAGAGCCTCCTAGTCTTTTGGAGGAGATATTTAAACGGTTGACACAGACCACTACACATAAAGCAGCAAATTTGCTGTGCATGATGTGAATAATTACTGCATTATAGTTTTGGTTTTTAGGGCAACTGTTGACTTAAGCAAAATAAGCCTGCAGTCCAGCTGCAGATCCCAAGTTTTCATAAGTTTTCTTGTGTTTTTCCCTCCAGTGCTGTCTCCCTTAACAGTGACCCTTTTCAGACTTCTCAAGGTACAAAACCTTTACCAGATCCTCGAGCTCAGTCCTGCACACTCTGCTTTCACACATTTGGCTGATCTGAGCTTCTCCCTCGCTAAATATTTTCCACTGGCCTGAAAAGAAAAACACAAAGGAGACAGATACTTAGAAAAGGGCACAAGGATCTTCAAAGACATTTACAAGCACTCTACAGACCGGCTGATTCACAATGGTCAAAGAGAGAATGCCCAGTCCTCCCATGGAAAATATTTAAAGTATCTTACAATATTCCATGCAAAATAACTTTGTTAAAAATAATAAACAAAGACCAGAATATTATTCCTTTCTTTAATTAAGTAGTACCTTAAGTTGATCTATTTAGTTAACTATTTAGGTTGTTGGATACTCTGCTTTATGATAGAGTGATGTGAGGATGTAACTCTGAAGATAAACCAAAATATTTGAAAGTTGAGAAGGAACAAGTCCAAGTGGTTCATGCACTGTGGGAACTCTGCCTGCCTGTGTGTAATGCAGACTGTGTTTGCTGGATATTCATATTTTGTACACTTTTTTCTAATGTGAATAGGAATGCCCGTTGTCCTGGTAACTACAATACTGTGGTATAGACAACAATGACAGGCTTATGGAAGGCTGACAGCAAAAATTAGGAAACTTTTTACATGAAAAGGGGTCTGCTTCTCACTAAGCCTGTATTACCAAGAGTATATGATTCTTGGGAAGAAGATTTCTTTACCCAATTAGAGACCTCAGCAAAAATGACAACTTGTAATGCAAAAGCACTGGGAACTGAAAATGCCTCTGCCTTCATTCAGCTATCAAATTAGGCGTCATATCCCAAGTTGGATAAAATACAAAAAAGAAATTAAATCAAGAGTGACAAAAGCATTACATGTGCTTTCAATAAACAGGTTTTAATAATGAAGATACTGTTAAGAACATAGGACAGGCTTGCTTCGAACACAACATGTATATTGGAGAACTCTTTAAAAAACGTCTCTGATTTTTTCCCTTCTGAATGACTTTGTAAAAAAGCTGAGGTAACTTGAATTGTTACTTAAATCCAAATTGTGCTGCTGTGCTGATGTCAGTCATATTTCAGCCTTGTGGCATTATGGGCAGAAACCAGCTTATTTATATTTTAACAAAATACAGGAGGCTAAGACAGCATGAAAATGAACTACTGCTTTATGTATCTATATGATAAATTGCTGTATTTTCATTATTTAAATATAAACTTATAAATATTGGAGCCATGTTCTGGAGGAAAATTTGGTACATCTGTTTGTGTTGAGTAAAAGAGAATGTTTTTCAAGGCTATGTTTATATGGAGAAAGAGGTCAGAATTTTACTTACTAGGGGTTGTCCTTGTTATCTGCTTGAAGTAAGGAAGTTCTTCAAATTCTCTCTTGGACACTTTTTCAACATAGAAGTGACGCAGAATGCCTTCAGCAAGGATATGAGAAGTGCATGTTACTGGAAGTGTGCCTGTTGTTCTGAACCTGCCTATATGTAGAACTACTGCCATGTTAAGCTGCCCTGAGAAATCATCCTTACCAATTACATGAATTTTCAGCCTATTCTTTATTCTGGTTGCCACCCCCTTGGTTTTTTGCTACTCCCCTGTAAATCCTTCTGTGGATTTATGATTGCAGTTTGTGAGGGGTATGAGAATTAGCCAATTCTTTTCCAGCACAGCTGAACCCCTCCTTATTATGAATAAATGTAAGATTACAGCAGAAGCCAAAATCCCAACATCTTGGAGAAAACCAGCATCATTTTGCAGTCAGATACCATTTTGCCTGTCATGAGCTAGCAGGCAACATCACTGTCAAATCATCACGAGGCTTTGTGGCTTCTAGAACACACAGTAGTTATTAACCATCTGTTCACCTGACTTCTTTTCCGCTCACACTTTGGGCTTGGCTTTATGCCCAAGTACATTCTAGAGATGTACTGTTTCCATGAAGATATATATGAGGGTTTCCTATGAGGATGACATGCTTTTTGCTTTAAGTAGATTAAGTAGACCAGCTCTTCAGGAGGCAGAAGAGAATTTTTATTGTACTAAAAGTTCAGGATTTGCAGAATTTGGGCTCTGAATGCTTTTCTATTTTGTTCTAATTACCAGTTAGTGTAGTAAAAGATGCTGCTTCCATCCTTATACAGGTTTTGTCCATATTCTAGACCATCACTAAGGCATCAGATAAGGCAGACTGATTTTAATGCAAAGCTTTTTGGTCCATCCTAAATAAGAACCTCTTGGCACGTGGTTTAAACCCTGCTATCCATTTCTCTGCAATAAGTTACACAGGGTATTTTTGACAACCTGTTTGTCACTGTGCTTTTGCTCCCAATGAAGGGTAGGAGTCTGCACAACTAGAGCTTTGTGTGTTATTAATGGGTTTTGTACAGCAGAACTTGAGGATGTTGGTAGTGGCTGTAACTGCAATACCCTGAATAGTGAGATCAGTCTCAGAATGCTTCAGCTTGTCCTGGGAAATTAATGGAGGGTGATACACTCTTTAAAGAAAGAACTTCCTTAGCTCACCTTTTCTAATTGTCCACACATGTATTTCTATTTGAGGTGGCTTTTCAGTTTCTACTGCAATTTTTCTGATGGTTTCTCCTTCCTCCGTGAAAACGGATTCATAGACGGGAAATGTCTCCTTCCCACAGAAGTAATCTTTGTTGTCAAAGGCTTGACTTGGTACTTCTTCTGTTTAAAAAAAAGCCCAAAACACATAATTCAGTTGTAATCAAGTCCTCCAGAACTTACTTGACAAACAGGAAATGAGCTGTGTAAAACCATGTGGTCTGTGAGACTCCTCAGAGTTTTTCAAGCATATTTGAAATAATGGCAGAAGTCTCAGAGGCAGCAGAATAACTAAGTGAAAACTGGTGAAGAGACCCGCATTAATGTTTTGCTGAGGAAAAGGGCAGGTAGAACCTACATGGTTTGCATTCTGCTTGGCCAGTGCAAGCCTGTGCTAGCCACGGTACACATTATCTCCTGCTCACCTGGTAAAGTCGTAGAGCATAAGGAGAAATTGTAATTGTTCTGTTGGTAACTGGGAGTTGGACAGGAATGTGAGAGAAATGATGCAACTCATACACTCGGACTACAATTTGTGGGAAAACCTGACAATGAATACATCTCCACATAGAGCAGACAGAAAAGGTTCAGCTTTCTTAAAAAACAGCACATAGAATCGCAAAGAAAAAGACAGTAACTTTCTTTTTGCTGTTAAATTTTCTATTAAAGCCAGGTTTTGCTGACCATTCTCATAGCAAATAAGCTAAATAAAAGCTGTAATTCACAAATATCCAAAAGATCTAGATACGCATCTCCTGCCTGCCTACTGCCACTGCATTGTGCTCTTCCCCAGTAAGCAAAGAAAATGGGAAGTGTGCATTCTCTGAAGGATTTCTATACATGACAGAACAACAAGCATTTCCATCCAGTGTATCACCAAACATAGAAATGAGCCATACAAATGAGAAAAGTTTAAAGGCACCAAAGGGAACTGGACACTCCTTTACCGCTTGTGTCATATGGAATGCAGCTGGTTAACCATCAGCAGGTTTATATTAGCAGATTTTTCGCAAGTTGTAAGCACTGATTTTAGTAAGTAATGTCTACGTAAGTTCAGTCATTAGCACAGCATAGAAACAATGCTAAATCTATGATAAGTTAGTATTTATTTTAAGGATTAGGTTATGTAACTGACAGCAACCAATTTCTAATTGGGAGTTTTGAATCCTTCTGGTACATTTTAACAAGCAGAAAGGCTAATGATCCCCATGCAAATTTATAAGCTAGAAAAAATGATGTGAAGGTTCCGTGGGCTCTGCAGCTGGGGAAGGATGGGAGAGTCTTTTGACAATAATGAACTTTCTGTGTGCCTCTCTGAAATAGTCTCTTCAGAAATGGGCATCAGAGAGTTGTGCTACCAGTGGAGAGAAAGGCAGGGACTGATCAGAACAAACGTGTCTTCAGCAGCAAACCCCCATCTGAGGAGCAGCAGCTCTGCCTGTCTCACATTGAGACCTTTGCACACATATGAGAACAGTGGGCATTGCTATTGCTGTTTGCATCAGATCTTATTGTGACCAGAAGGCTTGAGCCAAGCCCCTTAACATGCACGGCAAAAAGGTGGTCTGTGATCAACTTTGTTTTACCTGGACAGACTTTACAGCATTTTCCTTCTACTTTCTGAGGGTATTTGCAGGGATATTGTTCTGGACAGTGAATTTTCTTACATTCTTGTTTGGTGATGTTGCAGGTGCACAACACACACTCTACGATTCCGAAGGCTCGGAGATTAGGATGCCAAGATTCACCATGTGAATATGTTTTGCCATTTGAAACGCACACTACAAAAGAAGAGAAAAGGAAAAAAAAGTACAACTGGAAAAGGTACCTTCCTTGGCTACGTCTCTATGAATATTCATTTCATTCATTCACATGTTTAAAGCAATGTCTCTATACATCATTTGTTAGTGTCTCTTGCCCATTTCTCTGGTTGCTGACTTTGAGTTTTGCTGCTTTAAATGAGTCTGGGCCTATGATCACCCTTTTCTGAGCAGTTTTGCCTTGATTCCATCTCTGCTGACACTAGTGTTCATCACCATTTAGAGGTGAACAGTGAAGGTGGCTGAATCAAGTATTTGAGTAGTTCCTCTCCAGTGCACACATTTCAGTTGTGCATCACTAACCTGCTTATAAAATTCACTCCTCCTTCCTCTTCTAATCTCAGTCACCACACAGGACACAGCCTGCCACATTGGTTCTGGCTTCTAGAATTGAATCTGCAGATGACAGGATCATGACATTTGATACTGAGTCACCTGTACAGCTTTTCTAGCCATTAACTCAACACGGCTTCTGTAGTGAGAGCCATGCTGTCAGCAGGATGAGTTAATACAACCCTTCATTGCTTTTGCATGAGAGCTCCTGCCACACAACACACAGACCAAAGTAAGGGAATGTTGCAAAAATAAAGTTTTATATCCTTTATGGAAATATACGTGTCTGTAGGTATATAGAGATTTTGCTTTTGTAATCACAAGAAGACACTAGCATGAAAGGATTTATATGGTACTGAAATTTCATCCCAATAGCATCTAAGCACCTCAGAATATTTATTCATCAGCGCCCTTAAGAGACAGAGAAATACAGCTGACACCAGGAGAGTGGAAAAATCCATGCTTGGTGGAAGGCAGTTTGGGTCACCCGGCAGTTAATGGGAATTATATCACTTTACACCATGTTTGCATTTGTCCTATAAACCTTACTTGTCTTTTTCAATATTTTATAAACACAAAGAAAAATGCAAACTAATCCTAACAAGGTGAAAGAAAGGGCACTGCTTCATTTCTAAAAGCAACTGAAGTGAAGCTGGGATATGTTGTAAATATTTCCAATTCTTGTAATATGCCATCATTTCTATTAATGCTTTTATTTGTAAAATATGTTCCTATTTTGCCTGTAACTTTCAAAAGCAATTTAATTTTTATCTGTAATCTGAAATTTACATCTAACTGGTAACAGATGTGACCAACTGGCTTAAACTTTACCGAGTTACTGAGATTTATGGGGAGTATTTTTTGCAATGTATTGTCTTTCAGGGGGTTATGCTATCATTTGGCTTATAATTTGCTACTTTTTAACTCTTTCTTAAGACGTGTCTTTGTTCAGAGATAGGAAACAGTTTAGTTTCTCAAATAAAAGCAACTAAAAGTGTTATCTGTATACTAAGAACATGGAAGAAAAAACATAACTGAGAAAACTGGTAAGTACTGAGCTGCTCAGCAGGCCTCTTACATGCTTGAATACTATATTATTAGTCATATTTCTGCTGAAGTAGATATTTTTTCCCCAGCTTCTCCAGATCCTTTACAGACATAAAGGTTTCATGATTTCACCCTCACAGGGTGATTTTGACATTGTGTCCATACGTATTCTCTCTGGTTTAGGGTTCTCTCTGGTTTAGGGTTTCTTTAGCACAGACCAGTTAAATAATTACTCTGAGGTGGCAGATGAAGCTTCCAGTAGAAGCCAAAATATGGCAAATAACTTCTAGTTCCCTGATGCCCTGTCGTCAGTGCTCTTCATGTTTAGAATGATAAATCTGTATTCCTATAACTGCACAGTATTGGCTTGTCAGGGGAGTCATTGTGTGTTTATTGTTTAACTTGTTGAAATGCATCTCAAGGGGCATGTGCATTAATTAATAAAACACTTCTTAATTGCACAAGGACAAAAGAAAATACATGGTCAGCATTTCTGTTCCCAGCATTTCTCAGGCACTTTCCAGGCAGTGAGTGTCTGAAGTTGTGGCAGTTCCTATATACTGCACCCAGAAATATGCTGTTCATCTGTATGCTCTTTATTTGCCAAAACAAATCAGTTAGAAATTTCTTTGATGATGTCTTCATGTGTGAATTACACGTCAAAGATACTGCACTGCACAGAGATTCCTGCTCCTAGACTCAGCGTAAAACACTGGCATGATCTGAATGTTTTTTCATGCTTGTTCAGGTGGATAATAAAGATCCTATGGCCAACATTCCTTCTGTTAGTTAATACCTTAAACGATTAGTTGGCCCTAATACAAGGGCCTTTAACTCTTTGTGGGTAGTTTCTCAATGCACACTGACTGGTATTTGTGGATAGATGCTCTTCTGAACATGTGTTTTTACATCTATTTCTTTTATGGTTTCTTAGGCCTGTTCCTGCAGGCCTCTGTTCAAAGAACAGAGCATCCCACCCTTTTTATTGTACAAACCCCCTGTCCCACTAACTGGTGAATTGACATTTTCCCTCTATTTTTGTCCTTCTTGTAATGCAGCAGGTATATGGCTCAGTCATGTTTGGATGAGGTTTGCCATAGGGGCTCAAATGTCTGCTGTCCCCATAATGTAATATGTCCTATATTGTCTTATCAGGAAGCACTAAAGGATTCTTAGAGTGAGATTGATTATCTTTGTTAATTTTGCCTCTTTACAGCTCAGGCATCCAGTACAGGCTAATTGCCTACTCTGCCTCTAGTATTAGTCTTGGAGGATGCAAAGCACCCCTTGCATCCCACTGTCTCAGACAAGTAGCTTAATGGGTGGGAAGTCATGCAACTGCCTTTCTTGAGAATAATTTGCTAAGCCTTGGAAGCAGAAAACCTCTTGATTCTATGGCAGAACTTTATGGTCTGAGATTTATGGGCCAGATTAAACATACACTGCTTACAGCCAGTAAAGTTACAAAATAAGAGATGGTGTAAGGAAAATAGGACAAATAATTTCCTACTGGAAAGTCAGTTTGTGAACAAGTTAATGAATCTGAAGGCATTGTGGTGTCCTCTATGGCACAAAGCACTCACTTCCCTGGTAGCCACTGCACAATCCTACGAGGTATTTCAGAGAGCAACACAAGTGTGGTGTGCCTTTGCAGAGTGAAACGCAGTGCTGTCTGGAGGCACAACTGGTCTCAGTCAAGAGCTGATTTCATATCCTTAATAGCTTACTGCTTTTTGCCTCCCTGATTTGCGTTGGGTCTGTGCGAGTTGGCACTGTATATCCTGCTGTATATTTTGAGAACTCTTTCTGAGCTACAGGTGATTGATTCCTGACCCAGAGTAATACCATAAAAAGTAATTGTCTTTACCTCGTCCGTGCTTGTGCTTGTTGTTGATGACGATTTGTACTATTGTTCCTGAAGCTTGTTGGGGATCTGGGAGGACTCCACGGTTACTCCTGGCATTCGGAAAGCGTGGAATGTTGACTACCTGCCTTGCAGAGCTGGGTGACAGGTCATAGTGGGAGCGATGATATGAGTGTCTCTGTTTAAGAGACAGAAAGAGAGCAGGAAAGTAAATGTCTTATTCCAGTGATCTGACATGGGGAAAGCGGCTGCACTAGAAGCTTAATACAGACGAGTGTTGCTTCTATCATCAAACATCATTCACACACATATGTGGTTGTAACTCATCTCACAGACTCTATATGTCAGTGTAGGTGTCTTACTTAAGTTGGTCATCTGAAGTCCTGAATTGAGTCAATGGACAGAGAGGCAGTTTTAGAACCTCACCTGTTGTGGAACTCTGTATCATGAGGAGATGAATCACAACTCAGGAGTCCTGTTTCACTCCATGTGTTAAAAATGATGTTCAGAATTAGATGCCTACTTTACTGATGTCTACGCTAAGATTAGATGAGAAGAATTGTAACCCTGTCTAGTTTTCCTCATCAAAATTACTTTCTGCTGGGTCTCCAGGGGCAGGGCACGTCCAGAGTGACTGTCCAGCTTTGTTTGCTTGCAGCTTTGAACTCTGATGCAAGGCTAGTGTTAGGCATGCACAGACTGAGCAAGGATCTGTCTTACAGACTGGGAAGTCTCATTTTATTTGCAAAGAACAGTAGGAGCAATAATAGTAATGTACAGTGTGTTTCCTAGAACAAAACCAATGGTTGTTTTCAGAAAATTATTTTCCAAAATACCCATGGGCATTAAAGAATAGTGTATTTTACAGCAGTTATTTTACAAGGCATGATTCTTCTCACTAGTCCAAAGACCTGTTAGTTCATGTATTTAGGTAATGCACCTAATGCTTAAAAGCACTTCACATTCTCTCCAAATGCTGTTACAAAAATCATCTCTTGAGAAGTAAGTTGTTAATGGATACTCTTAGCCCCACGGCAATGAAGCACCTAAAGTAAATATATACATGTGTAAATGCCAACTGGGAAGTAAGTTTTTTCAATTATGATTTAAAAGTGATGCCTGCATAGCAAACAAACTGCTGAAGAGTTTTATTCTTTATAGAGCGTATACAACAAAGACAAAATCCAGAGCCTGCAGGAGCTCATGGGAGTTTATAATTCAGCATTATTCCTGAAGGCTGAGTCTATTAAGGGATTTACTGAAGTGCAAGAAACCTATTTTGGGCTAGATTCACAGAGCCCAGGATGAAGCAGTAGACCTGTTACCATCCTTTTCTATTCTTTCCCTGATGTACTGATGCACAAAGCACAGCAAGAATCTGTCTTTAAGTTGTAGGTCACACTTACAGCTTCCCTGTTGGCCGGCTGCCGGAAGATATCCCCATCGGAATGTTCCCATGATAATTCTCCATCTCCTGTGTGCGAAGCAGAGCAGGAGCAGTTAGGGGGTAACTGAGCTACACCTTGAGATACTCAGGGGAAAAGTCTCATCCATTTAAAATGGATTAATTTAAAAATTCATTTAGAGTGGAGGTAGCATCAGGGTGTAGAAGTGTCAGTCTTTAGTCTGACTTCATTGTACTAGACTCTGCAAAGACCAAAAGGAAGATCTCTTCTCAAACACCATGCAAACTCAGGATGAAGATTTACTATCGGATTTATGTGGCTTAACAAGACGCTGTGTGCAAGGTGACTTCCAGCAACCATTTGCTATTGTCATCTCAGGCAAAGGTGAGAGACCTTTTTGAAGCCTTGATTAACCTCGTTCTGGGAATGGAACTTTATCATCAGTGCATACTCCTCTTGTTTCAATTTAGGAACACAAAGTTAGCAGTGATCCCCTGCTGACATTTCCCAGTGGTTTAATATCCCAACATGCTTTGGATTGTAAGTACATGGGAAACTTGCAGATTGTGTCCTGAGGGCCCGTGCTGGTGCACAGACATGGCCCTGGCAGGTGAAAGAGTAAATTCAGGGCCTGTCCTTCTGTAATTATGGTTGAACTTACCTCTGCAAACTGGACAGCAGGACTCCGGAACGGAAACTGGGAATGAGCAAGTTAATTTGGGACAAGTCTTCAACCCACAGTACACATTTCCTTCCTGCCAGCAGAACACAAGAATTTAGGAGGAGTCATTGATTTGCCTGGTACTGTGTATGCATCTTTTATGGATGTGCTTAAATCCAGTATGTGTGTTTCCATAAATGCCACTCTAGTATGCACAAGCAGAGTATCAGCCCAATGAAAAGTCTGAATAGCTTTGTTAGAATTTGTTGTCACACAGAAGAAGATTCCTTTCTTTAAAAAACTCAGAGGAAAGTGGAAGAGATGAAAGTGTGTGGGGAGATTAACTGCAATTACTGTAGGCTGAAAATGTACCTGACATGGTTGGTACCAAATCACCCAGTGTAAATTCTTCCCCCTGCTCTCCTTCAGCTGTGTCTTCCCAGTGAAAAGGAGGAAAAGCTTGGCATTAACTAAAAGTTGTAAAGTCTTTTCAATGCTTGGCCTATTAAATTTGTAGTTAATGTAGAATATGATGATTTGATGAGAGGAGGTCAGAGCTGCCAATACTTAATACAGAAGAGCTGGCTGGATTGAGAGGGGTGTTTTGATTCAGACACTGGCTCTGAGGAGTCCCTGGGTTACTGTTCAAACATACAGGATTTGAACTGGTGACATCTCGGCTCTGTGGCCCAGTGCCAGTTGACAGAGCTGTCCAGTCCCAGACTGTGGGGCTCTACTTATCAGTGCAGTCCAGATGAATTCAGTTTCAGGCATTGGCTTAGCACTGCGTTTTCCAGTCGGGTTGAAGTGAGATGTTCTATCTATGCCAAGTAGCAGTATTTTACCTGCTGCCTCTGCACTGTAGGCTCACTTAGAGCAGATGCTCGACAGGGTAAGCTTTGTCCACAGTGTTTGAGTAAGAGGTAGCCTGGCATTTACCAGGTACTGCAGACTGGCTCTGAACACTACGAGTTTCAGCATTAATTCTCAACTCCCAGTCTTTGCTGTGTATTGCTTATATTTCGGTGTCATGTCTTCTAGAAAGGAGAAATGAAGCACAGAGCAGGGCTCTGTTGAGCCGTGTTACTTACTGAGCAGCTGCACTGGGCACACTGGTTTGCTTGCCTGTTTTGGAAAAGTCCCTCTGCCACAAACATTTCACCATGATGGTAGGTGGTGCCATTGTATTCACAGGATTTCCCGGTGATTTTGCTGCTTACTGAGAACAGGGAGTCTTCTGGAAGTAACAGGAAAGGAACACTTCATGCAAATATCCTTGACAACTGGCAATATCACAAATACAGGGGAGGAAAAGCTTCTGTTCTTCCTCATTTCTCTTTATTATGAAAGGACAGGTTTTGTCATGCTACAAAGTGTAAGTGATATTCTCATGCTGCTATTTTGCTGCATGTTAATAATTCACACTTTGAGTTGACTGTCCCAGTTTATCTTAGGATGCTGATGATCAGCTGCAAATGCACTGTTTAGCCAGCGTGTCTTGTGCTGCTGTATTTTCTCTTGCTCTGCCTGCTGTAGCACTAGGTATTAGGATACATTGGTGCAGTTATGTGCTCACTTGTTACACATGGCTTTTTCATGCTTTGATATTGAGGGCATTAGGTCCTGTATACAGTATCCCACTATCACTAGCACAGTCCTTGTTTTCCCCTTCTTAGTACTGGTATCATTTTATTAATGATTTGTAATGTTGTAGCCTGTAGAAGACTTAATTGCAGGTTAGCAGGATATGCCATAGGACATGCATCATTCCATGCCATCCACAGGCTCAAACCTTCTGGAGAAGGAGCACGGTACTGGTGAGGAAACTGCATCAAGACAAAACCGTGGACTACACAAGTGTTTGTTCCTAGTGGCCTTCACAATTCATTGCTGCTGTTTGTTCTCTGACATGCATTTTAATGTCAGATGTGCAAATGAGTGCATTTGGTTTGCAGAACTCAGTGCATATGATGGCAGTCTCAGTTCAACCCTGAAACCTCCTGTTTCAACTCAAGATCATATCAAAGTCTGCACCACATGGGCTAAATTTTCTTCTAAGACATAAAGCTTTCCATACCTTGTACTAAAACATCCTCTAGATTGTTTAATTATTAGCAGTTGACAAACTGTGCAAAGGGATTATACTTCACCTATGAAATGTAAGTCACTTGACACCTATTGGGCAGTGAATCTGGCACTATACATTTACATTCACATGAATTTAGCATCTCAGCATGGGAAAAGACATTTTGAACAAGAGCTCCATGGAAGTAACAGTGGAGTGTTTGTTCTCCAGAGCCTGAATCACTGCAGATTTCTAGGAATGCAGCTGAAATTTCATTCAGTGGGTTTAGGTTTTCATGTAAAAGAAACCTGACCTGAAGACTCAGGTTTTGCTGTAGCCCCTTTCATTATCTAGCAGATAAACCTGGGGAGATCTTGTGTGAAACTGTGCCACCACAGAATGCGCATTTTTCAGCTGGGAGCTCAAGTGAAAAAGCAGTTTTCTGCTGGCCTGCACTGGCATTAAACACTGACATTTAGTTTTCCATAAAAGCATATATTTAGTTACATGGGTCCATCAAATACTAATAATATTCTGAATGTCAAATCTGGCTGTGGAACATACATGTGCTACAGTATATGAGAGTCTGTGGGTCAGCAAAGAATGTTCTGCAGGAGAATTGCAGGAGAATTTAGCCACTTAGGCATCCGTGCCTGACATTTCATTTCTCTTCAAGAGAAAGTCATGGTATTTGCACTCCTCCTTTTGGAAGCACTAAATACATCATTATTTCAGTGCAATCAATGATACCTTTCCAGAATCTTACAACTAGTGCAGAGCTTTGACACCACCTGTGCTTGGCATAAGAATGCAGTGCTTGTGGCTGTATGGTTTGCTAGTAACACACATTCTGGGATGGCAAGGTGTGTGCTCTCATCAACACATATCCTTTGACAGGCATTGTCAAAAGATTCAAGTGGCAAGTTCAGTGACTGTCCCATCAGGCCCAAATACTGGAAAACATGAATAATGAGGCACTTCTCAGAACTGTGCTTGTATCACCATAGTGTCTTGGGCTTTCGCAGAGTCATCTCATTGGAAGCAGAAAGAGAGACTGCCAAACCCTTAGTTACCTCCTTGCCCTTAGGGCAACTGGAAGAGCAGCAAAACTGGAAAGAAATGTAAGTGGAAGGAGAATACAGTGGTTCTTGTCTGGATGCAAGGCCCTGATCATGCAGCCTCTGCAGGACATGGCTGTGCCCATGTAAGATGCCAGTCCTAAAGCAGTGTTTGGCTTGTGGTCTGACATTTGCAGAGACCAATACCTGAATGACTCATTGTGACTCTTCAGAGCATTGGATGAAGAGAATAAATTTTACTGCAGGTTTACCTTGGTATATGCCACATTGCTCAGTTCGTTAGGAAATCACCAAATGCCTTTAAACTGTGGCTTTTATATAAGGGAAGGAGGATGGTGAAACTCTTACTGCTTGGAAAATGACAGTGGAAAGTTGCAGTAGGTAGTTGTTTTCATCTATATTTCTTTTAAGTCGATCATGGAAGTTGGGCCTGCAACAGCTAAATCATGACATGCAACTCGAAACACATGGACATCTGCCTATCTTTGGAATTTGGGATAAAATTCTATTACTATTTTGAAATCTTATTTTATTAAATAATTCTAAGAAAAGTCAGTTTCGGTTACAGGGAATAAGACCATGTTGAGGTCCTGTGCTGCACGTAACTGTGCATATGATTATCCTTTAGTATATTAAATGAATGGGCCTATTTGGGTTCATAAAAGAAGGTTTAGAAGAAGTTTTCAGCTCAAGACCATATTACTATTATTGCAAAAAAATACATACATTCATATATCAGAAACAGCATATGGGGGAGCATGACTGATCCTCTGCAAACACAGCTTCTGTCAGAACCTGCAAGGAAGCTCTGTTTATATTGTACGTCTAAATATAACTTCTGTCTGGTGCAGTTTCTCTGTCTTTGCCAGTGTGTGACTGACTTGCTACAACTAGGCCTTGCCTTGGTTTCTTTTCTAGTGCTCTTTAAATCATGGCTAATTAGGGGAGCTCAGACTCCCTCCTGATACCATATTCTCCTGTAGAATATGAAATTAGAGTCATTGTGGATTGTTTTAGTAAGTGCCAGGTTTGAACTTTCAAAAGTCTTGGCATTAATATTGCTATCAGCATGCATTATCCTGTGCCTTAGTTAAGATACGTTAGAATGCAATTAATGAACTGCAAATATACTCCTTTGCTCAAAGCTGTATTTGTGAACCTTGATTCCTAATCAAGAGTGTTCCCAAAGCTTTAGCTGGCATTTTAATGGTGCTTACTAACATTGCTTTAATTAGCTGCCTCTGGAAAGCACCAGGCAATCCATCTGTGTGAATCCTGTAATTAACTGAGTTCAATCTGAGCTCTTCTTTGTGGCATTCACAGCGTGTCAGTGGAAGCAGTATAAAATGGAGAGGGTAAAGATGTTATAGCATCAATTAAAAAGGAAGTATCTTTCTTTCTGTGCTTGGCATTTATTCTCTGAGGGCTCAGACTTCAGTATAGAGGTTGACAGGCCATGCTTGTATTTGCCTGAAATTTCAGTGCCCTCAAGATAGGACCATGAGTTAGCAATATGGATAGCACATTCAAACATTAACATTAGGCAATGGCAGGGGGATAAGATGTGCAAGTTAGGCTTCACATGACTTGATATGAACTTATCCTGTGAGTAGCTTTAAACCTTGAACCTGGCTGAAGAAATCTTTCAGGTTTTACAAGCAGGCAGCAGAATACAACTGGCTGAAAAAGAACTGCTTTTTAAAAAGCAAATGGAGACTATGGTAACTATGCTTGAATTCTTATATCCAGGCACTCCTCTGTTCCAAACACAGGATTCTGTCCAGCTTCTGCTGTCTACCTAGGCTGTTTTTCACTGGCATGCCATACACACAAGGTAAATCCTAGCCTCAGAGAAGCCAATGGAATGGTTGCCTTCAGGATTTAGCCTAGGGACTTGCTTGAACACTGCTGAAGATGGATGGTGGTACTAGGAGGAACTGTTGATCAATAAAACAAGATTTGTATCAATTCAGGTCTGTAGTACAGCCTGACAGAAAGGTTCACTGTGACCTAGAACTGCATGTAAGTGTGGTTCACGAGTTCCTATAGTCTATTTGACAGGGGGTGTGAAGAAACAGTATGGCAAAAGTTTGCCATGAAGGGATGTGAACTTCGTGTGAAGCACAGCATTAATGCTTTCCTGACAGGCTGACAGAGTTAGGTATTGATTTGATAAACTATGGGCATTTAATGGAAATGTTGTGAAGCTGTAAGCTGCTCCAATCACACATTTTTCATGGGAACCTGCCTGGGTTCCTGATGGTCTGCCTGTGACTTGAGGTTTCCAAGGACCAAGGTTTGAGGGCATCCATACTATGGACACTCACCAGGGCCTTCTGGCTTCTGGAGCTTTCCAGTCTCCTGGGACAAACAGATGCTGGATCACATGGATCACAGTTTGGGAAACACCATCTTTTAGCATTTTCTCATTACAACTCTATTCCTTCTTGAAGTGTTATAAAAGCTTGATTCTTAGCTGCTTTACCCCTACTTTCCTATGTAGCAGAAGAGCATCAGTTATCTGCAGCCAGTCCCTGGAATAGCTTAGACAAATTCCACGGGCAGTTCCTAATGTATAAAACCAGGTGGCTTCTGTAAAAGTATTTATGTGCAAAGAGAATGAAAAGCAGTAATTGGGTATGAGGAAACCAGCCTTTGGGAAATGTGAAGTGACTTACTTGAGGAAGGGCTTTAGGATCCAGGCCTTAATATAGTCAATTAACTCTTCAACTTGGGTCCTTCTGGATAAAGGCAGGACGTGCTCATACAGTTGCTAACAAACAGTTTTAGGACACTAACTAACAAACTGCCAAAATAACCTTAGAATCAGGACAGTTATGGAATGATAAGCAGTAAAGTATTTATAATGTGACATCTGATCTTCAAGACAAGAAAAACAGCTGCTATTGGGTGGTCTTCGACATCATGGACAAGGAGACCAAGCATCCAAGAGTCATTATGCTCAGTTCTACTGATCTGCATCCAGTAATCGGTTGAAGTGGTGATTGAGTGTCCTCCTGAAATGGAGACTGGACAGACTGGAAGAGGAAGGTGGGCAGGCAGAGCTCATGCTGCTGCTACATCTCAGCATCT